AACGGAGTGTGCTAATCCTGTAAGGGTGTAGACATCGACTCACTAACAAAGTAGACGGATGAAATGGTTGAGAATAGAACCATGATTGCATAATGCGTAAAGGAAAGTCCTAGTTAAATGAGTACATTCGGTAAGGTTGAATATAGAGATGGTAGAATGCATTAGTATTAAATATATCTTAGGAGAAAAGATAGTTCGATAGTCAACGCGTAAACTCATAGTCGCGATGACCACCACCGAACACTCCAAGTGAAGGTCATAGTAGCAAAAAAGGCAGCAGAGAGGGCTTAAAAAGGCCTCTGGGAGGACGTTAAATCACCCTCGCACTCGAACACCTTCCACCGCCCTTCCAGATGCCGATGATCCTGGAAGCAACTCTAATTTCTCTGAATTCTTACCACATTAGGAAACTCCATCATCGTGTCGGTAAAAAGGCTTTCAGCGCCATTCTAAACGTCGCACCACAGGTATTAAATGGAATAAGGAAAGCAGGCAATTGCTGCAACTCTTCTGCGATTTGATTATCAGTTGTGGCCTGACTATGTGCCTCGTTCATGTCAGTGGATCTTTCGGAACAGATCACTTGTTGCTTAAGGAGAAGGGGTTGAAACAATCGAGATCACCGAAAGGGTTGCCAAAATCAGGATTGAAAAGCTAACTCTACCACTCCCTGACTTGGGGCTTTAATAAATAGTTATCCACACTATATAACAGGCCAATACTCCAATAAAGTACCCTCACAATAGTTGCTTGTCTACTAAAATGCACAATTTTATCGCGTTTTTGATTGTGCGTAACTAATTGTGGCTGATCTCTAGAATGCTGAAGTGCCAACCCTTGTGATCCGTGTAGGTGGGAACTTAAGAATGAGCCACGTGTAAGCTGCAATTATGAGAATTTCAGTAGGCAATATTCACCAAATACACATGGAAATTAAATGCATCAGCTCTGGTATTTCACCTTGAATTATCGAAGTTTCAGCCTTTGTCTACTCTTTGTGCATTAATAGCGTCTTCATCTGCATAGGATTTGCCAAATCTGCCCACATCATGTCTACAATGGGCATTCTAGCCAGCAAAAAATAGCCGGTTTATGTAAATAACCTGTCATTTTATTCACAACTGCAATGCATGTTTCGCATACCGAAAGTTTGATGTGATTTGACTCTCATTCGCTCCCCATCAAATCAAGGGTTTTTATGCTGCTTCGCCTCTCACATTCATAATGGCAGGGCCTTAGCGAAATTTCTGTTAAAAAGGTATATAGCGGAGCCACTCCCTTCTTCCTAACCTATTAACTGAGATTAAGTTTGTTGGAAAAAGAGAGCTTTTGTACTTGAATCAAGGTCCGATGACGCCTCTCAAGCGAGTTTTTGTAACGTATTCTTAGTGCGATTATCAGTGTGAGCTCAAGCGCTGTTGCAAGAAAACATGACATTCCTCCTTGTTAAGGCCCATTCGTCCCTTCTGCAGCAGCTTATACACATCTCGAATAGAAGGTGATGGTTGTGATCACTGTTGGCACTGGCACCAAAAAAAGCAGATCCA